GTGCTCCCCCTTCCCTCCAAGGAAACGAAACTGAATGCATTTCCCAAGCGTAAAAAAGCGTATCCTGGACGTTGAATCCGAGGCGCTTCCCCAACATCTTCAATGTCAAGGCTACAAGTTTGAGTTGCGGTGACATGTTCTTCTCATCCTGCCACGCGAACAGATCTGCTTCGAGGCGCCTGCTGCCCAGCTCAATGATCGCTTCGGGGCTCCCTCGGAACTTCCATTGATTATGCAGAACAGTGCGCCAAAGCGCTGAACTCACCCATCTCATGATCGGGCCATAATATACGCTGTGAAGGGCATCAATTGCTAAACTCTTTGTCGGCGATGTGCCGAGCCCCCTTGAAAATAGAGGACACCTGTGCCTGATCGAATCCATGACTACACCATCGTGGCCCAACGTCTCCCTCCAAAACGTTACCAGACAAGGCAGCTGGACTGATTCCAGGGTGGCCACGTCAAGTACTTCAGTCGAAGGCTCGAGACGATCCCGCGCCTTCAGCAAAACATCTCCTACTCGAAGGTCGTTTAAACAGATCCGCCCCTTTGTGCCCTTCCCCTTCTGATAACGTAGATTGCTCACAATCGCCCTCATTTGATGTTCAGACATGATGTTTCCCTTTACCTCGCACCTATCGCAATCCGAGAAATAGTCTTCATGTGGTCGTAGTTCCCAGGGGCACCCGTTACATATATTATGATACAAGTTGTGCATATCGTCGAGGCTGCAGTCGCAGAATTGGCATGGGTTGAACACCGAACCCCATTGTGGAAGTCCTAAGTTTTTGGCGTGCTCACTCCAATCACCTTTGATCCATATTAGGGCACCCTTGTACGAAACTTGCTTCTCTTCTGCGAGGGGGCTGTTTTCTGGCCAAGGGGTGCAGTCGTGCTGCAAGGCAGGCCTACGACCATCAGCCATGGCTTGAAACTGCCATGCAGCCATATGCAAATGAGGAAAGGTCGTGCACCAGCCTCTGCAGCCGCAGAGACAGGCATCGCTTGAACGAGTCACAGACATCACATGCCGCGTACCACTGAGTAGGTTAATTGCCCACATGCCCAAACAAGAGTCGTTCCGACCAGATGCGCCCTTAATGTAAGTTACACCATCCAGGTAAAACGCAAGCGGCAGCGGCAAGGTCTCACCACGAGCAACAGCATCCTGCACTAAGGGGTGTGTCTTATAAACTTGTAGGCCCAGGACGTTGGGAGCCCGCTCGCCAGAGTTGCCACGTAGCATATCCAGCAATGTTATGTCAGCAGTAAGCTCTTCTTCAATAGATTCGAAGACGCATCTGACTGGGGTATCTCGAATGGTTCTTTATGGGCGATTGTTTACATTCGTCGGCGTTTTAATCAATATAAGGTCACTGGGCTCTGGCAGAACCGCTGATAGTCTATCTTGATACTTACCAGTTTGTTTTCCTGGTGGTACTGCGTATAACCAAAAATGTCCGCCTGGTACCTTGGCGCATTTCGCTAGGTGGCAAAGCTGACAAAACTCAATTGCTGTAAGCTTAGAACTTGCGTACAACCTTAAAAACATTTTCAGCATGTCCGAGCCTGCCTCGCGAGCTGCTAGCGAGGTACTGTCGTGCAGCCGATGTCCAGAATGCGTGGGGCGCCTGCTCCTGCTTCTGCTCTTAGGCATGGTCGGGCAAGGCAGCCCGATCGCTACACGTGCAACTCGATCCGATATGAGCTTGTGCGGACCTAGACGGATTGCGATAGATGCAAGTTAAGTTTACGTTTGTGCTGCTGTTATGGCTTGAAGTACGTTTACCAGGGCAATGCACATGCAATGCAACTCGTGAGCTAAACCCGTCATTGAGATCCCCCCACCCAAGAAATATTGTTTGTGATTTGGCGACTGCAATGGTTATTCCTACATGTTACTTTTGTTCTGGATGTGTTAGCTGTCCTCAAATGGTGCTGCGCTCACCGTGAGCCACCACGACTGAACACTCAAGAAAGTTGAGATCTCACAGCACTTCCAAATCTCCCAGAAGCGGGATGCGTAGCCGAAACCTGAACTGCTCGAAGGTCCGTGACCCCCGACGGACTTGCAAAGGGCTCCAGGAGCAGACAAAAGAGTGAGCAACTGCAGCGCTTGATGCTGCACTGCTTGCAAATACTGGCTTGGCTTGCACAGCGCACGCAGTATCGTACCCAAATGTGAAATGTGTTGCTTCAGCGCGAGACCCTGGGTCTGCGCGACTCTGGAACTGTATTTTCGCATTCTGGAGCTCAAATTCCTGGTTCTGGCAGGGCTCATCGGTGCTCATCGTTCGTTGAGCTGTTCAGTGAGGCTCACCGGTGCTCATCGTTTGTATGTTTGCATGGCTCATCGGTGCTCATCGTTTGCACGAAACCCTGTAAAAACACCGGTAAAGTGAACCCCTCACCGCACCTCACCGAATTCAGTGAGCCACAGTGAGACCCCCCAGCTCACCGGACCTCATCGTTCCTCATCGTTCCTCTTTTGGTTCACCGGGGCCTCAAAAACAAAAAAATGCAATTCGGTGCATCGACTGCTTCATTTTCCTCATCACCCCGTCCATGGTTGTTAGTCAATCCCTCCCTCCGCCCTCCCTTTGCTCCCTTGCAGTTCTCTCTATCATTCCTACATGTGCCTTCCCCACTTTCACTCTGAAGCAACACTTGTGTTGCAATTGAAAGTAATCCAGCCATGCGACTTGTGAAGATAACGTGCACACTCGCAACTGGCTGGCTCAATCCGAATTCTTGAGCTCGTTGATGGACTGTACCTTCTTCAGGAGCTTCGTGACATCATCGCAGTCCTTGTCGACTTTCTTCAGGTCGATCAGAACCTGGTTGAACTCCGTGGGGTCAGCATGCTTCTTCAAAGAAGTCAGCTCCTCGGTCACTGCGCGGCTGAGCATCGGCTTCGAATTGACGTAATCACGCAGAGTTGTGAAGGCTGTCTTCAAGGCCTTCGCATATGTGTCCGACCTGGCCCAGGCCCACTCCTTGTTCTTCTCATCCGCGATGCTCAGCGCGACCGTGAAGGTGCTCGAAACGACGAGGCTGCACTTGGTCACAGTCTTCTTGCCGTCGACCATCATGGCCTTCAGCGGGTCGCCTGCTGCGCCAGCGCCGCGGGCGCGGCCTCCGCCGCGCCCCCCTCGGCGATTGCCGCTTGGGCCGCCTGTGCAGCGGCCACCGCCGCCTCGGGCCTCGCCTCCCTTGGCGGCGCCGCCCTCGGTGAGCTTCTGGGGCTGTGCATCGTCGGCCTCGGGCGTCTCCTCATCCTCCTCTTCGTCGTGCCCCTTCGACCGCGCTCCTTATATACCCCGCCCCCCCCCCTCTGCCCCGTTCGCCTCGACCCTCGAGGAAGACGGCGAGGTGGCTGAGGAGGCAGCGGGGGGAAGGAGCGCGATCAGGAGCTCGATGAGGATGGTGATAAGGTGGCCCTGAGGTTGCTGGCCTTGACCTGCACAGCTGGCCTGTCGGCCAACGCCTTCTGGACCATCTCGCCAGTGAGCGTTGCCTGACTGGCAAGCCACTGTCTTCATTTCCCCGCCCCCCAGGAAGGCCCAAACACCCCAGCCCAAAGAAGTGCACCAGGATCCTTTCGAAAACGTACCTGACCAAACAGTCTCACGCACAGTTTGAACGAAGCGTCGCCGACTCCAGCCGACGCCGCTTCGTCTCCTGGCTCTCCACGTCGTCAGACGTCCACGCCTCGTGGCAAGTCCACGCCTCCACGAACTCGTGGTCGATGCCGCGCTCCATGTACAACACGCGGAGACAGAGCGCGACTGGGTCCCAGATGATCCAGGGGTTGCCAAGTTGGATCGCCTTCAAGAAGTAGCGGCACGCCTCAAAGGGGCACGCGTGGAGGAGGTGGATCAGGACAGGAGGACGAGGAGGAGGAGGAGGAGGAGGAGGGGGAAGGACAGAGGCGAGGAGCAGGCGTGGTGGTGGTGAAGGTGGAGTAGGAGGAGGGTGTCGGCGAACATGATGAAAACTACATTCCTCCCCCTCTCCTCCTTAGTCAGCCTCATCAGATTTCGACTTCCCTTCCACACGCTCCTCCGCCCCCTCCCCATCCTCCTCCTGCTCCTCCCGCCCCCCCCCCCGTTGCAATTTTGGTTCGAGCACAGTGACCTCATCGTTTGCCTTCCTGGGGGTGCACCCAACTGCTCCGACCCAGCTTTCTGTGATCCCAGAGCAGCCTGAAGCCAGCCAAGTTTGCCTCCTCCTTCTTTGTGGGCAACTCGTCCAATTGCCAAATACCTGGCTCTGGACCAGTTCTTGTGCTTGATCTCAGTCGTGTGGATCTTGTTGTCCCTGAAGTTCTGGTATTGCCCCAGGGCCCACGTCCTCCTGAACTCGTTCTGCTTGGTCCCGTCCCCCCTGAGCGCAGCGTTGTCGCGCTTCAACGTCTCGTTGGCAGCCTTCGCTCTGTCGAATCGCCCAGCCATCTTGTTGCCGTTCGCACCGTTCGCGGGGAAGTAGAAGTCCGTCTCCGCTGCTTTCTTGAAGGCCAAATAGTCCTTCAGCTCCTTGCCACACAGCTTGCTCTGGTCAACCGACTCCAGCTCACGCATGTGCGAGTTCTTCTCCGTGTTCGCCGCCGTGCCAGTCTGTTTCGAGTTCCACTCCGTCAGCGCTTTCTCCGCGTCGAGCTCAGCATCCGAGGTCATGTCTGCCATGTTGAGCCCCTTTCAGGCCGTGCATGTCGGCCGCGTCCGCGCTCCTGAAGATATCCACCAACATCTTGTGGATCGTGGGCTCGTCGACGTTGTTCGCATCATTCTTGGCCAGCAGCTCCTGTGGGATGCTTCGCGCTGATACCAAAGTGAATCCCAGGGGGCCTCACCAGAACCGACGGCTCCCCAGGGCTCATTTCGGCTCGTTGCGTACAGTGATCGCTCGGTGAGGCCATTGTGTCACTTAGAAACAAGCCAGTTGCCCCATCAGATCTCACCGATCGAATTCATTTCCCCCAAGCGGCATGTGTCCTCGACGTCGCCGTCGCGGCGCATGATCTTCATGGACAGGTCGTGTTTCTTCCTCTTCGGGGGCGTCGTCAAGTCGACGTCCTTGACCTCGGCGACGCCAGCTGCCGTGCCTGCGGCGTTCTCGGTGGTTGCGTCTGTGGCATGGGCGGTTGCAACGCTGGCTGCCTCACCACCGAATGTCTCGGCTGCTGCAGCGCTTGGTGCTGTGTCGCCCGCACTCTCGACTGCGCCTGCTGCGCAACCACCAGCGCTCTCGCCTGCATCGATGTTCCTGCTGGAGCGTGCTGTAGGGCCCAGACTGCTGCCGCGAGGTGGCAGACCATCATCAGGATCTATGCCTTTGCGTAGTGCATCCGCTCTGGATTGCTGCGTCGCCTGCTGCAGCTGCTCCGCCTCCTCGTCGTTCATGGCCCTCTCCTTGTCGTGCTCCTGCTGGCTCTCGACAATCGCCGCCTGCAGTTCCTCATCTGCAGCACGCTCGGTCGGCGCAGCGGAGTCCGAAGAGTCGCTCACTTCGATCGGGTGCTGGACTGGCCCCTCGCCGCGACTGGGCTCCTGCTGCCGTTGCTGCTGCCGCTCCCTCCTGAAATCATCGAAGGCGTCGGTAACAGTCTCAACTTGCGTAGCGCATGCAGGCGGGTACGCACTGCACGGACACTGCGACTCTGGGTATTGGCCATCCTGGCTGTGCCGCAGCCTTGCCGACCTAGGCGAGCCGCCGCTCGCTGGCGGCGAGGGGCAGCTCGCTGAGCCGTCCGAGGGCGGCGTCACCATCGCCCGCTGTGGAGGCGCCATCGGGGCACGTGGGCAGGAATTGTCCACTCGAGCCAACGGCAGTCACGATTGCCTTGAAGAGGGACGTCTTGTCACAAGGAACCTTCAATACGACGTCGGTGTCTGACGTTCGAAGCGGGACTTCTTGCCATGAGGGACCTCCACTATGATTTGACAGTGCCATGCAATGCTTCCTGGGGGTCTCCTGGAACCTCCTGGATCCTCCCGCTGCCTCCTGGAGCCTCTTGGGGCCTCCTGGAGCCTCCTGGGGTCCCCTGGGGCCTCCTGAGGCAGCCTGGGGCCTCCTGGGGCCCCAGAACTACATGCACTGTTAATGCGGAACGATGGTTTTAGGGTGTCATTCCGTAGAGCCCCAAGAACGCTGAGACTTTACATTTCTGGGCCCCACAAGGTCTTTCTTCCAGCGGCTTGAGTGTAGTTTTGGTTTTGCCTCCAGCGGCTGCTGCAGTTCGCAATGCGACGCATTGCTGCCATCGTTGCCCAAGCCTCGCAGAGGCAATCAGTAAGTAGAACGAGCTGGCACCAGCCACTGCATGCGGCTTCGTGACTGCGAGGGAGGGGAGGGCGGGCAAGGTAGGGATAACGAGAGAGAGAGAGAGAGAGAGAGAGAGAGAGAGAGAGAGAGAGAGAGAGTGAGGGAGGGAACGAGGGAGGGAACGAGTGAAGGAGAGAGGGAGATATAGGGAGAACGAGAGAGCGAGAGACGGAGCGGGAGAGGAAACGAGGGCGGTGAGCGCGTTCAAATGCACGCACCACCAGGTCCAAGCGATCTCAATCGGCCCAGAAAGCAGGCCCGCTCCCTCGCTGCCAGCTGCATCCTCTGACGTCCCACTCACCCTCCCCACTCTCTCCGAGCCCGCGCTCGATCACATGAAAATCCCGCTCATCATGGAAACGCTTGCGGGGATCCCCGGCATCGGCGGCGCCGCGCTCAAGCTCATGAACGAGCCTGAGATCGCCGGCATTGGCGGCGCCGCGCTCGACGCACCAGTCACAGACGCAGTGGGCGCGGGCAGCTTCTTGGGCGTCGCGGGCGTGCTGTTCGGCTTCTTGGGCCCCATGGGGTTCTGGATGTTCGCCGTCATCTTCATGTGCTTGGGAACCCACGCCGTGCTCGGCTGCTCGGGCTCCCATGGCCTCCTCGACCTCCTCGGCCTCCTGGCAGCGCGCATCCTCACTGCGCTCCGCGGGCCGCTGCTCCTCGTCCGCCTCCTCATCCTCCTCGTCCTCGTTCTCGCCAGCAGCGTCATCTGCGGCCTGGTCATCGCCATCATCTCCCTCGCCCTCCACGGCCTTGTCCTCATCCTCGGGCTCAGCGGTGATCTCTGGCTCCTCCTTGGCTTCGCCTTTCACCGCGGCAGCCGCTGGCCGCTTCATAGTGGATGCAGGCCGCTTGAGCACCTTGGCCCGCTCCTTCAACCAACGCCTCTTCTCATCCTCCATCTGCTGCTTTGTCATCTTGTCCAAAGCGTATAGCTGCACGATGCCCGTCACGAAGGCTTTGGCGTCGTCGTTCACGTCGGTGCCCATTACTTGTAGCTTCTGCTTGTTGCCGTGCAGCACCTGGATCCACTGTTTGTCCTTCTTGTTGACTGTGAGCGCTTTGATGCGCTGCTTGTCACCAACGTGCTCGCCTGTCCAGAAGATGAAGCTCGAGTGCTTCTTGCCGCAGTCGAGGCCATCGAGGTCATCGGCAGTGGAGTCAGGCACCTTGCTGGAGGGTGAGGAGTAAGAGAGGGCAGTAGGAGGAGAAGGAGGAACATCATCGTTAACTTACGAAAGTGTTAGATCCAAAGGTGCACCTTCCACTTGAAACCGTCGGGCCATATGGCCTCTGAGACGTTCTCAGGCTTGTTCGGCACCACTGCCACATAGTCAGGATTTCTCTGAGATCCATCGGCTGGCAGACGCCATGCTGACTGGGGATTCGCAAGGACAGTGAGCACATGAAGCCTCCTCCTTCCTCGTATAACCTCCACCTCTCCCATCCACCCCCTTTTACCGAGTTCCCCTCCCTCCTCCGCCCCCCCCCCCACCGCCCCCCTGAAAGTTCGGGGAGGCGGTGGGTGGACTAGGATATCACGAAGAGGATGAGGAAAAAGGCTAGGAGGGCAAGTGGAGGCAGGCTGAGGGAGGAGGAGGAAGGGAGCAGGCGGAGGGAGCACCACTTCGAGGTGGAGCAGGCGGAGGGAGGAGTGAGGAATGAGAAGGGAGGAGGGAGGGGAAGACGGACGAGGGGGATGAGGAGCAGGATGAGGATGAGGAGGAGGAGTAGGAGGACGGCACCGACGACAAGGACGAGGAGTACGAGGAGGAGGAAGGACGAGGAAAATGAGGATTAAGGACGAGGAGGAGGAGGAGGAGGAGGACGAGGAGGAGCTGAAGCGGAGGACGAGCAAGGACGAGGAGGAGGAGGAGGAGGAGTAAGGACGAGGGGGAGGAGGATGAGTTGAGGAGGAGGAGCACGAGGACGTGGACGTTTGTGGCGTTTCGCCTGAAGCTCCTTCACGTAGCCGAGCTTCCATCTCGAGTTCTCGACCCTATCGTCGGACTTCTGCTCGATCCGATGCTTCTTGGTCGGGGGGCTGCTGGTCGAGCAGCGCGCGGTCGGCCTCGCTCGCGTGCGCGTGCGCCCACTTCGGCACGGGGCTCCTGCATTGATCTTGCAAGCCCGTTCTAGCCCGCCCGTCCGACCCCCATCGACCCCCCCCCCCCCCGCCGGTTGCCCAGGGACCCATCCCCTTTTGGAAAGGGGAATGGGTAGGGTACTGCTGTCGGGGCAATGTCGCTTGAAACCCTGCCCTCGAGACAGCTTTGGACACGTGGCGAACCATCGCCCTGAGCATCTTGGCGTTGTCGATGCACCACCGCTTGCCTGAGTCGGCGAGCTTCCAGGTGGCCTCGTTCACCTCCACGGCGTGCGCCAGCCCAGCCTGGGGCGATGGGGCGGATGCGGACCGAATGACCTCGCCGTCGGCTCACTGGAACCAGTGAGCAGACAGTGATCCCCAGTGACCTTCCAATCTAAATCAGAAGGTCACTGAGGATCACTTCGAACATTCAACCTCGCCGAGGGCAGCCTCAAAAATGATGAGCTCACTGAATCCTCCCATCCACGCCTTCAGTTTTTGTTATTCCACTTCACTCCCGCCCTTTCTATGGTTTACCAGTTTATCCTTTCTTCCCCTCCCTCCTTCCCTACCCTCGCGTTTCCTGGCTAACGTTTCGGGGCAGGGTGGGGAGGGGGGGGGAGGGGGGGGAAGAGGAGGCGGAGGAGGAGGAGGAGGAGAAGGATGAGGCGGATGAGGAAGGGACAGGAGGAGGAGGAGGAGGAGGAGGGTGAAACGGAGGTGGATGAGGAGGAGAAGGATGAGGAAGGCACGGCTTTATGCCCAATGCCTCTGCAATCTTTTGCGGGATGCCGCCGACTGGGGCCAGGATGCGCGATCGTGATATGAGCTCCACGATATTCTCCTTGCTGAGCTGCTCGGAGTCCACCTCGCCGCTTAAGTCCGTCGTATAGTTCAGCCTCGGCTGGGCATGCATTATCACTTGTCCTCCTACTTCTCGCACTCCTCCGCGTCCTCCCCTCAGTCCTCCTCCTGCTCCGCCTCCTCCTCCTCCTCCTCCTCTTCCTCATCCCCCTCCTCCTCCGCCTCCTCCTCCTCCTCGTCCTCCTCCTCCTCCTCCTCCTCCTCCCTGCTCCTTCTCCTATAAGTACTCGTGAATTCCCCTCTAGCTCCTCCTCTCCTCTCCCGTTCCCCTCCGAGCACTCGTGATATTATCCTCCTTCCTCCGTGTCCACCCCCCGTGGAGCAGTTGAGACTCCGACGTGTCGTCGGACACGATCAGCTCCGCCCACAGCTGGCCCAGCACGCCAGCATCGCACATGCTTCTCTGGCGAGGGGGCCCCCGCGGCTTCTTCTCGTCCGACATTGTCGGGCCCACGGGCCCGAACCCCCTTGAGTGGCCTGAGAAATCCCTCGGGCCAAACGCCCTGCGACGAGAAAGAACGAGGAGGGGGGTAGAAGAGGGGAAGGTCATATAGCGGTGGCGATGATGATCATGGCGATGATGAGCGCACGGGGGCTGGTCCAGCGCAAGGGTCCCGTTTCTTCTTTTACCTGCCCCCACCCTCGCAGATCTCGCCTAAACCTCAACGAGCATGCAACGCTAAACAAACTCACCAACACAACCAACAACTCGTCAACAATAGTACGTTCAGCACAACACATCGTAACACATCGTGGTTTTGTACCGCGAACGACTAGTATTACATGTTTTGGGCTTGCACATCCCAGAGGATGATTTTTTCCATTTTAGTGGAAATATGTGTTTGCGCCGGAAAAACGGAAACAGATTCCGGAAACAGACATTTGGTTTCCGGGCAAAATTGGAAACAACATGTTGGCGCTTCTCTGTCGGAAATTAAGATCGATGGTAACGTATTGCTCGTTGCTGCGAGCCGTGTTGCAGTATTTCACACGGATGTTGACGATGTCCGTGCCTTGATGGCGACGGTGTCGCCATTTTGCACATCCATGCGAGCTACTGCGAGCGGTTGCTGCACTCTTCTAGACGCATGTGTTGCGATATGGTGACGCATGTATCTATAGGAGTGCAGGACATGATCACGATGGACGTTAGCACGATCTCTCGTGTTCGCGTCCATCGCGCAGTTTCTGCAGCTGTCATTCGCCATGTGCGCGGCCGTCGCAATCCGCGCGGGCGCAGTCGCTGCCGCTCGGGCGA